TACAATTGACTATTCTGAAGTACATTTTACGGTTTCTGAAGTACAATTGACTATTCTGAAATACTTTTTACAGTTTCTGAAGTACAATTGACTATTCTGAAGAAAACTTTACAGTTTCTGAAATACTTTTTACGGTTTCTGAAGTACAATTGACTATCCTGAATTACATTTTACTTTTTCTGAAGTACAATTTACTATTCTGAAGTACATTTTACTATTTCTGAAGTACAAATGACTATTCTGAAGTACATTTGATGATTTCTGAAGTACTCTTGGAAAAGGTGTAGTTATTTTATGTTTTCATAACCCCATCACTCACGAACAGCTCATTGGATGTGTTTATTTTTTTTTTTTGCATTTTACTACATTTGAACATTTGGTATCACACATACTTCTGAGCCGCTTTACAAAGTAAGGTACGTAGAATGTAAAGCAGTCTCTCGGAGTAGTTCGGCGCTAGGACATAACTAGGTAAGACGTCATCCGAGGTGTTCATTTCGTGCTTTACTAGTAGTTGACATTGATCATGTTGATAATTTTTGTACTAAAAGCTGAAAGAAAACGTGGATTACGTCGAAAGGTGCTTACATATTTTCCGAGTGGGATACTGCAGCATTGTTGTATGCAGTAAACAGTAAAAGCTTAGAAGACTAACCAACTATTTGTTAAAACTGTAAAGATTCAAAATATGACCTTTATGATACCTTGCGAACGCCCTTCATATCGTCGATGTTTTTGCAAAACAGCCCATCGACCAGATGCAAAACCGCCTAAATTGCCGTTGTGGAAAAAATGAGATTTGGTTTCCCCGAACTCCAGGCATCGAGATTTATGCATCAATCGTACAATCGTTATAAAAACCAGATTTATAAAATAATAGCTGAGAATATAGCGCCTATCAAGGCACTGCCTGCAAAGAAAAACAGTTTTTTCGCTCTCTTGTTAAATTTGAGTGCCGTAAGATAGGCGGTTTTGCGATATACAACTATACGACAGTATACAAACCCCTAATGAACTCCCTAAAAGAGCTGTACCTTAAAAAAAAACAAAAAACAGTCACTGGTACTGGGTGAACTTATTAAAATACTCCTATTTATTTCTTAATTCTTCTTCTAATTTGGCACTACAATCGTTTGTCGGTTTGTGCAGAGCCCAAAAAGCTTCTCCAATTGCCTCTCTCCTGTGCGTATTTGAGCCAGTTGCTGATCCCGTGTGCAGACAGGTCCTTCCATTTTGTTCGTGGGCGCCCTTGCTTTCGCTGTCCACCCATGGGTGCGGAGTCGAAGGATGTTTTCACCGGAGCGTCGTCATTAATGTGTACAACATGTCCAAGCCATCCTTATCGCTGTATTTTTATGTGCTAATCATGTCTCTGTCGTTAAAAAACTCGTATTCGTCATTCCATCTGCTTCTTTCTTTATTGGCGCTGTAACCGCCTAAGCGATTTTGGCCGAGTCCAAAACAGCACGCCAGTAATTTCTCCTCTGTGCCAACTAACAACAATTGGAAATGCCAAGTGAAGCAAAGTCCTCCACCTGGTCTTTCCAACGCAGAGAAGGCCTCTTCCTCTGTTACCAGCATCGCGGCCCGCGTTAAATACTTTCAGACCAGGAGCGTTTTTTCAACGTTTTCAACGTGGCGGGACCCAAACCCAGCGCACGCGAAATTTTACGATTTTTCACTTTAGCTCGCTCCCAAACGGGTGTTTGATTGCTACCCAGAGGATACGTGTTCTGCGCACGAAACCATCCTCCATCTACTCTTATATATGTATATCCGTCGTATACGCGAACAGGAGACATAGTCCACGTTTCTGTGCCATATAGAAGAACGGGTATGACGAGAGACTTGTAGAGCGTAATTTGTTCTCGTCGAGAGGGGGCTCTACTCTTCAATTGTCTACCGAGCCCAAAGTAGCATCTGTTGGCAATAGCTATTCTTCGTTTGATTTCCAGGCTGACGTTGTTGGTGATGTTTATACTGAATGCCAGGTAGGCAAAGTCCTTCACTCCTTCAAAGTTATAGCTGCCAACAGTGTCCCGCAACGTCTGGATTCTTTATATGTTGCTAGGAGGTACTTTGTCTTGTCTGCATTCACCGCTAGACCAACCTTTTTAGCTTCTTTTTCTAAACTGGAAAATGCTGCGGTTAAGTCCCTTTGTTTCAGACCGACGATGTCGATATTATCTGCATACGCAAGCAACATCGTTCTTTTGCAAGCCGCCAATCTGAATCGCAGCGGCACTACATATTGCAAAATAACGATGTATTTCTTAAAACAGTCTTATTTAATTTTTTCATTTCATGTGTATAGCACAGTAGTGTCCTATTTTAATAAAAATCTGGTTCTATGATTCATTAAAATTTAAAATCTGGAAATAGCAGTTCCACAATCCCAGTTGTGGTGTAGTTCTGCCGTCGCCAAAATAATGTATCTAACTACATAAGAATACGTAGGTCGGTGTTATGCAGACAAACTTTTGTTTGCCAAATTAAATGGCGGCTGCTTAGTTTGCTCGGAGGTGGTTATGTCGAGTTTGGCACAGGGTTGCACGTTCATTATGGTTTTCATGGCTATTGCCAACACGAAATGAGAATTTCAGATGTACATAACGCGCACAATTTAAAATATTTGTATATGACAACACCGAATTTGCTGCAGTTTGACCAAACAAAATTAGTTTGCTGTGAGAGTCGCCAAACTCGCTCTCTCCGAGTTTGCTGCAACAACAATTGCACGCAGTTTGCCAAACAAAATTTCTGCATAACACCAACCTTAGTTGGTGAGAAGCAGTGCGCTCAGACGTGTTTTTGTTCGCTCCGTTTTAATTATCTTTTTGACTATGCTATCGCAAAACAATATCTGCTCGCATTGCAGCAGGTTTATTAATATCGGATCTGCTGTATCGTGTACATTTTGCCAATCAAAATATCATAAAACTTGTGCAAAATTAGAATTTCTTGATTCTTCTGATATTTTAATCAAATGCAATAACATTGTTTTTATCTGCAATAACTGCTTGAAAGTATCAGTAAATCTCATTACTATGATCTCTCTCTTATCCAAAGAGCTAATTTTGTTGAAGTGCAAATTCGCTGAGCTTTCGCGCAGTAACAGTTGTCAAACGATTCCAGCTAATGCTGTCAGCCCAAATACGTGTTCGCGTGAGAGTAAGCGACAATCAACTGCCAAGTCTACCAATAGTGCCTACAATCTTCGTTCTCAAAAAAAAATATTACTTATAACACGAATGACATTGCTTCGCCTGGCCGTTTGCATACTGAACCTTTGGGTAACCAGACCTGCCCAGCTAATGATGTTGTTGCTGCCGCTGTTGATGCTCCCTCTGGTGATATGTCTTCTGCTACCGCTCTTGCTCCGAATGTGATTGTTGATTTTGATACTGGTACTCTTGCTTCAATAGCTGATGTTGATACTGGTACTCTTTCGGATGGTGCTCTCTCTTTGCCATCCACGTCTGCTCAATCTGCTGCTGCTCTCGTCTCAAATGGTGATGCCGCTGACGATCAAATTATTTCTGGTTCTGCTTTAAATAATCAACTGATGCTGACGGCGCTTATGCTCCCCCACCCGAACTCTCTAAGTGGACTACAGTGGAAAATAAAAATAAAAAAACTTAAGCCCAAGAAATTTGTTGTTGGGCGTAATGTGTCAACTGAGCTTGATGTAGTTGTTAAGAAGAAGTGGCTGCACATCTCGGCATTTAAATTTACTGTTAAAGTCGAAAATGTTATATGTAGAAATTGATAATATTAAATCACAACCTTTCGTAGCCACCTCCGGTGTCCCTCAGGGCAGTATCTTAGAACCGCTATTGTTTGATATTGGGAGCTGCTTTCGTTGTCCGTTTCATGTGAAAACTGCCAAATCTAATTACTTAAATTTGGCCCCTATTATAAGGGCCCTTACTGAGCTTAATAGTATATTTAGTAGCCTAGATTTAGATTTCGCCCTTCCTAGATCCTTATTTTTATCAAAGCTTGAATCCAATTATCTCTAATTCTTAAGCTGATGTTGTACCTCTAGTCTGTAAGGTTTGTAACCATAGACTTAATAAAGAAGTGAAATGAAATGATTCATTAAAATTTAAGATCTGCTCTAAACTTGTAGTATTGTTTTAACTAGGCGTTTTATCTTAGGTTTACGGGCAAATTTTTTGTTGGTTGCGCGTCATGAAATCGTTTAAAACTATTTAACTTCGCCAAAAAAGCAAATCATCATCATTTTCAGTTAATATTTCATTATTTTTATTTTTTAGCCAAAACCACAAATATTTCGTGAAGACATCGAAGCGCAGGAAGTGCCCGTTCATCAGTCTTCTTCGCATATTGAACCACATTCGCATCAGTTGCAACAGCAGCGCCCACCACGTCCTGAAGGCCGCACTTTGCAGCAACAACAACAACGAGAGGAATACGTAGAGCTACAAAAGCGCGAAAGCGACATTTAAAACCAATTAACAATAGACATTTAAAGCACTTTTGCAAAAGAAAAAAAAAGAATGGCATTTATCTTGCTTTATCCAGCCGTAGCTGCTCTTGCTCTCTTCATTATCGGTGTTATTATTGTAATTTTACGATTTGGACCACGTCTTTGTGGTTTGCGTCATCATGCGCTTCCCGATAATCACGAATGGGACGGAAAGAGCTATGAGCATGAGATCAGCTACGCCTAGGTAAGGTTCCTTCATACTGAACTCGTTATTGTCATGACTCAAATATGTGGAAACTTCTGCTGTGTATTTTTTCAAGTGAATCAAGGCAATGGATGGTCGGTGTGAAAAGTTTTGATGTCATTAAAAATAATTGCTAACTCGAATACTACTTCTATAAAAAACTGCACAATTAATCTAGCAACTAAATTCCGCGATAAGAGGAATCACATTAAGAATTAGTACAAACTTACGGCAACATATCGTAATTTTTAAAAGTGTCTTTTTAAAAACAAATTTATACTTTTATACGCATGCATAGTAAGTTCACATTACAATTTTAGGTTAAATTGAAACTCAAACTATTCCGTCCGAGTAGTATTTAAAAAATCAGGAGCACTATTTACAATGCTCAAATAACCAATAGTTTGTAAACAGTTTTATAAACGCATGTTTTACGCAATGAAAACATTTTCTAATAAATGATACAAATTTACTCAGTGATTTTTTTTAAATTATTTCCAATGACGAGAGTGACAATCAAATATTTTATAAATTATCCAGTGACTTATGGTGTTTTCGTGTCTACCAAAAAATGTTGCTTTTTGATGGCCACTTTTTTTTGTGTTCGATTCTAAAACAAAGGCAAACGGGGAGAAATTTTGTGATGTAATGTGGAACGATTTTCCGTCATCGCTTGTCAAATTTGGTTTGGAGACAAACCGGTTTCGGCGTTGTGCCATCTTTAGTGTCATTTTTCGAATTAATCAAAAAAGAGGGTTACCAGACGTACTGCTTTTGGGAGTAAACGTACTCCTTTTTATTGCAATGTACTCCCTTGTACTAAAAAAAAAAATATATCTGGAAATGTACTCCTTTATTAGCTTTGTACTTCTTTTGTACTCCTTTTTCCAGCTATTAATATTTTGTCATATAATATCTGTTGCACAGTTTTTTTTTATAGATTTTGCTAAAGAGTAGTTTATTGTTAATTATCCACAGATTTTACTTCAATTTTATTAATTTGTTTTTAAATTTTAACCTTCATTTGGGTTTACCGGCGGTAAACACTTTGTGAGAAAAGCGCAAGTCTTCGTCGGTTACTTTATTACATATCTTCTGTAACCATAGGCTTTTTTCCTCCATTTGGGTCCTTTATACTCCGTCTTTTGTCCAACATAAGGCCCCATACTCAGCAATCGAAAAGACTCGAAACTGGTGACTAGGAGGGCATTCATTCGACCAAACCTATACAGGTTTTTTTTTTTAAAATTTTTTTTTATACAAAATCTAAGAAAAAATACACCTGAAAAAGAGGTTCGTGCCGCATGTACTTATCTCCCAAAGCTGGCAAATGCAAGTCAGGATTAAAATTTTAAAACCAATTAATAAAATTAAAGTAAAATATTTACAAAGTTAAATTAAAAAAAAAACACAAAATCTATAAAGAACCCTTTTATTTTTCAAAAAACCTGTGCGACTGTTATTATTGTACGCACTGTACTTTGCCATTTATATGGTGCAGACACTACTTAGTAAGCAAAGTTAAGTGTGACAGTGAAAAGGTGTAAGCATGGCCTTAGGGGCAGGGCGCTCGGGTATAAAAATCAGAAAAAAATTAAATTAATTATAAGGAAGAGTCTGGAATTCTTTTGTAGTTTTTATTTTATTAGTTGGGGAAACTTTCCTATAGGGCGGTCATTGAGAACCGAATTCTACGCAAAAATACTGTGGACGCAAGTGAAAATTGTGACTTTTGGCAATTTTTCCAAGGGGTCCCTGGGGACCCATAGGGGCTCTAGGTGGTCGGGAGTAACATGTTTGACAATGGTGGTTCATGCCCTCTCCAAAAAGGTCGGAAAAGATACCACGTCCACTCCCCCTTCGATGACCATCTCTTTAACAACCGTCCCTATTGGAAAGCCAACCCATATAGCTATTTATTTTTCACATTTATTGTGGCTTTGAAAAAGATTTCAAAGATATCTTTGTTTGTTTGTACCTAATTAATGGTAATTTGTAACAATAAATTACACAAAAAATTAAAAAAAAAAATTGTACTCCTTTTTTATGTCATGTCCTGCTTTTTTTCTATCGAAAATATAAATGTACTCCTTTCTCCGTTTCAAAATCTGGCAACCCTAGGATGTACACACAGAACTGAAACTACTGGTTGAACGAAAGAATATAATCCGCTGAGACGTACCTAACAGACAGACAAACAGAAACTATTCAGAACGAAAAATGACACTGAAGATGGCACAACGCCGAAACCGGTTTGTCTCCAAACCAAATTTGACAAGGGATGACGGAAAATCGTTCCACATTACATCACACTCCTACCCTGTCGGAAACACCAACAACGAAACTGAGAAGAAAATTTTGTGTATGCATATCATAATGGTAACCCAGGCCGTGCCCTGAAAAACTGGACCTAAAAGTAAGTTACTCTCTCACAAGTGTCAAAAATTTGTCTAAACGTGCTAAAAATGCCCATAATGTGATTATGTGTATTTATCTTATACGGCGAAGAAAATTAGCAAATCCCTAAATTTTTTGGAACTTTAGTGGTATTTTTAATTTTTGTGTTTTATAAAATTTGCTTTCAGATGTAAACAAACAACAGCTCTTATGGCAATTTGAATTTGCACATTTGTACCGGGAAAAAAAGTCCGGGCTGTTTCGGGCTCTCTATTACCCATTTTTCTAGCGTGAAGAACTTTGTGGACTCTTTTGGGCACCCGCGGGCTCGTGTGGATCAAACCTAATGATGGTGTCAAAAATAAACGTCAAATTAAGAGTCGCTATACACGGTTGCAGTTTCTTTAATAACTACACGTTTGCATGGCAATTACGTTGTGTTTTAAATCCGTAACACCGTAATGAGAGATTAGTTATTATTACAAGTTTGAATTTTATTCTCAATAGAAATGTTCTAAAAAAAAATAGTTTTTTGATTTTGAATTCCCCAGAAATTGAAAGCCATTACCCGATTCCTCCGAGAAAATCAAATTCCATCAAAATCGGGGAATTGTCCCCGGTTGGCATCACTGGGAACAACACCGACACCGGTTTGTCTCCAAATCAAATTTGCTGTTTATTCACAGCAATTTTCGAATAAAAATGGTATGTCCTATGTTGTTATACATATAGTTAAATTAGTTTATTTTCTCAACTGTTTTTCTTACTTGCAAATTGTTGGAAGTAGGGATGTGCCGGGTGGGTATCAGGTAGATATTCGGAACCCGGCTTATCCGGCCGTTTTTCTGTTATCCGACTATCCGGCCGGATACTGGCTAAATTCTGAAAATTTTCTGCTTTCGATTATAGAAGATTCAATTTAAAAATCTAGTTCAGAATTTGTTTTTTTTTTTTAAATTGTAATTAAATTTAATATTATGTATATAATTAACCATTATAGCTAAAAATGTATATATTTTTCATTATGAAAAGAAGCATTTCCTCATTATCGGCCAACACCTATTTCTATTTTCAACATTAATGCCAGCCGATGCACTAAAAAGTCTTTTTGAGTTTACTGAGGAAGGTGGCGTGCAGAGATAATTCATTGCCAGAGTAAGCAAATTTGGAAATTCTTTGCGACTATGCTTCCACCAAATTAAAGGATCTTCTTGACTGAGTAAATATTTCTCCATTTCTAGATAGATGAGTAGGGGTAAGCACTGCGACCAATAGGTCTATTGTGCCCGGAGCACCATTTCTAAATTCCTACCTTTTTTCTTGTACGGTCGCTGCTTTGTCTATCCATCGTTTGGCTATCAACATCACTAAAAAACTGGAATCAGCATCAGAGCCGTTGGTGATTTCCCCAAAGCATTGCAAAATATCCTGGTGAGCTTGTTCTTCAATAGAAACTTTCTCAATTGTTGCAAGCATCAATTTTGATGGTAGTGTAGTGGTAAGCAGTGCGCGCTTCCACTCCTCAGCACCTGGGTTCAAGCCCTGGTCAAAGCACCATCGCAAAAAATTTAGAAAAAAAGGTTTTTTCAATTTTGAATAAATTACCTTTAATATTTACTGATTTATCAAAGATTTCGTATTTCTCCAAATGACCGTTATATGAGATGTGGGCGTGGTTATTGTCCGATTTTAAAAATTTTGTATGCTATAGCAAGGGTAACAACCGTGCCAAGTTTGGAAAAAATTGGTGCAGCGGTTACCAAGATATACGCATGTAACCTGAAGTGGGCGTGGCTACGCCCATTTTCCAAAAATTTATAATATTCTTATTTTTCGTCTAAAAATTGTTGTAAAAATAAATTTTGTGAATAATATTCAGCAGTTACTAAAATATAGCTATTTTCGTATTTCTGAAAATTACCGTTACCGAATTAAGTGCACGTACCAAGTTTCGTTAAGATATCTCAATTTTTACTCAAGTTATCGTGTGCACAGACGGACGGACGGACAGACAGTCGCCGCTTAATTGATTTCTCTTTTCATTCTGATCATTTATGTATTCATTTGTCTATATCTATCTCGATTCGTTTTGCCTGTTACAAACAACCGTTATGTGAACAAAGTTATAATACCCTTGTGCGCAAGTGCGCTGGGATATAAAAATGCCGAAGCTAACCTTTTTGTAACTATATCGACAAAGTTGTTGGTCCATTGCTCCAACACCAACTTTGTATTTGTTGTAAGAGTTATAGCCTTTGGTTTCTTTTATCATCACTTCTTCTCTTATCACCAATTTCTTCAGGAATATGGGAGGCATAATGAAGTATTGGCATTCTGGTGGAAGACACCTTTTATTTCAGAGACATGTTCCAACGAACCCAAGCCCAAAATTCATCAAACGTTCACAGCCGTTGACGGATACAAAAAAAGGTTAGGTTAGGTTATATTGGTTCCACGAGTCGGAGGAGAAGCTCGGCCAAACGCCAATCTAAAAAAAAAAAAAATAGCTCGGAACACTTTGAAAACGACGATTCACGGGCCACAGCTGTCAAATTATTTAAATACGTACTCCTACATGTGCAGATAATCTAGGGTTGCCAGACCTAAAATGCTGAAAGAGGTACAGATATGAACAAATTGGGGTACAACTAATAAAGAAAAAGCGGTATTTTTCGAGGGACAAATAAAGCTAAATGTATTCAACAAAAAATTGATTTATTCGCTTATGGAACAATAAAACGGTTCATAAATAAAAATTCACTATCATTAAAACAAAACAAATTACACTGGCGATCGAAACTGAGTACATGGTGATTTTATTTGAAATATTTACAATAGTAGTATTCACCAAATTGAGCAAGTGGCTTGGAACTATGGCAAAAGAGCAGATGTGCTCAAGCAACGACTGTTCACAACACTGCCAGGCCACTTGCCGACTTTGGTGAATACCACTAATGTTTTTCAAGCTAATTTTTTTGGTTATTTTTTTTTATAAAAATATGTTTCATGCTTTAGCCAAAACCGTAAAATTAATTCAAACTTTCAAACTTAATACAAACTCTAGAAAAATGCAACAAATTTCCATCAAAATTTTGGAATTTTCATCTGAACTCTTGAATATGCGGTTACATGGCTCATGAAATTTTAGTAAAATAAGTGTATTGTATTAAATTTGCAAGTTTGTTTGTTTTGGGCGAGCCTAAGATATTGACCAAAAATTGTAATCTTTCACACAGATTGTTTTGAAAGCATAACGCACCATATTTTTATTATTACCGATCAAAATTCTAAAAAAGCGGATTTCCGGCCCACGCTAATGTATATGGTTTTGCTTAAAGCATGAAAAACATTTTTATAAAAAAATAACGAACACATTAACTTGAAAAACATAATAGTTATTGGAAAAAGTCAGTGTATGTATACATAAAAAATATACACATAGATATGTATAGCTGTGGTCATAAGCACTAACCGCCTAAGTCGACCTAAAAGTATTGAGTTATATATGTTATCGTATTCTGGAACTACTATTCCATGTGTATGTGAAATGCCCATCTCACCAGCTAGGCTATTAAAAAGTCATGGACGAACATATTTTGGGTTCCCTATAAGGTTAACATTACAATCCAAATGTTGAAAACGTTTGATCTCGAATTCATGTTTTTCGACTTAGGCGGTTATTGCTTACGACCACAGATATATGTATACATATTCAGCCTTAAATATGGCATAAGAACATTTTCGAATAAAAACTGTGAAAGTTGAACAATGCAAACATGCTTTAAGCGAAAAGTGAACGGTCTCGGGCGAAAATGGGGTACCTGCGCAACCTTCCCCAGCAAGAGGGACAAAAAGTGAAAATGGGGTATGTCCGTCCCCCCAATGGGGTACGTCTGGCAACCCTAAAGATAATCATATCGCTATCGAGAAGCGTTTATATTTAGAATAGAGATAAAAAATTAATGTCCTGTAGCCTGGTAAGGTCGTTTTCAAAGTGTTCCAAAAGCAAATGTGCTTGTTTTTTTTTAATTTTTGTAATATATATTTTTTTTTTAAATGTAAGTCTTATTCAAGTACAATAATTTAAAATTACTTAATTTGCTTGTAGACGAAATAAGTTGGGCTTCTTGATGGTTTGTTAACGGTATGTTTAATGACCCGTTGATGATTGAACAGGTATGTACGTAGATGTGTCGATAATTTTGAAAAACAATTTATGGATACTTTCATGATATCGCTATAATTGATGAAATTCCTTAATTATAGAGAAAAATGGAACGTGCAAAATACATAAATATTTGATCGCAAAAAAAATTTAACAATACCAAAAATAAAATTTTAACTTAGTAAAAATTCGTTCCATTGCATTTACATAATTTAAATCAATGCTAGGAGGAATCCTCAATTTAACACCGCGTTCATAAGAAGCCTGTATAGCAATACAATGAAATAATACAATTATATTTAATATGAATTGAACAAAAACGATTAATAGAAAATATCAAGTCTCTGTTAATTTGCCAAACAGTTCAATGAGCAAAAAATTGTCGGTTTTTGAATAGCGAGCTGCTGGAGTGGCGCGCTACTCATCCCGCCGCTTTAGGCCGTCACAAACAATCTTGTACTACCACTTAACAGTTTATACGCGCACTTTTTGTATTTTTTGTGTTTACTTGTCCGCATGTTTTCGCTCCAACTTCCCATTTTCATTTACTTGTTTGTTGTTGGTTTCAACTTCAACACCCGTTTAATTTTGTATTTTCTTTTCTTTCTTTTTTTTTGTAAAAATAGACAATATACTCCGCCATTCCTTTTTGTACAATAACAACAAAACATCTTATTAGTATTCAATAGATAGCGCCAAACACCATTTCAAAAATGACTTGCTCCCGTTCTTATTCGCTTGTGTTTTCCGGTTCATTAAAGACTTTTAAAAAGCTCTTTGTTTACATTTCAATTTCTTTCGTTTTATATTTTTCTATGTTTCCACATTAAAATCTTTTTAGCTTAATAATTATGTATGTCTCAGTGATCGATAAATATATGTATGTATATGTAGTACGGAATATGGGAGAGGAAATACATATGTATGTATATGATCGATGGTTCGACGGATTTCATTTGTGGATAAAAAGCGTGGCTACTTCTGGTTTACAAATATGCTCGTTCGTGCTTAATTTCCCCTCATAACAGACGGCGGTTTTAACATGTAACAGCACTTTCAGTTACAACAATTTTTAATATTACTGTTAATGTAAACAAGTATATTTGCTATTTATGCCAATGGTGGAGTTTGTTGGAGGTGCCTTAGGTGATGGCACTGACAGCGCAGGTGCCAGCAGTGTATGGAAATTATTATGTTGGAGTTACCATTAGCTCGGAAAATGCATTTTCAAGACAATTCTTGAGTTCGGCATACGTAACGATCAAGACAGATTGTTCGTCGCGGGACATCAACTGAACCTGCAAACAATTGATGGTGATAACAATTATTATATTATTATTATTATTATTATTCATAAAAGTAAAAAACTACTCGTTCTAATGCGCCGGCATCCAATTTATTTAAACAGAGTACGATATGTGCGTGATCCAGCCAAGGACGACCATCTTCTGTGACGGAATGAAACAAATAATCACGAAACAATTTCAGCATGTATCTATCACCAGTTTCTGACCAAGTGCAATCCATATTAAAACTAAAATAGAAATTTAAATTTATCAGAAATGGAAATTACATATTGTTACTTTCCATTAGTGTTGTAAATTTGTAAAAAACACACGGCCACATAACCGAAGTGAAACTTCTTTCGATTTATTTCTTTTTCGTTTCAAACTACTGAAACCTAGCCTTAATTTAAATCTTAGATCTAATTCCTATTTTAATACTAACCTTAGCCATAATACTAATCTTCATTTAATCCTAACCTTAACCCTTCACCTTAATCTAAATCTTAACCTTAATTTTAAGCGTAATATTATTCTTGATTCATGCTAATATCAACCTAAATTGTATATAATCTAAACTTGAATTCTAATCTTTATGTTGATTGTAACTACAATCTTAATCTAATTCTAATCTTAATTGTTCTCCTTAACCGCGAGTGAGCACGTTTCGATAACTTACTGTCAATGTTAATATAGGCGACAAGACAGGGAGAGGAGAGGGATGCACTTCCGTTGCAGCGCAAGGTTCAGTTTTTCGGGACGATTTTTTTTTTTTAACTCACTACCGCCGCTAAAGAAGTTTCACTTCGACATAACAAAAAATGTCAAGAAATGGTTAATGGTTAATTCATGTACGTACTCAGGTCTTTCATTTATGCAGTTTAATTTCACCAAAATTCTATATAAGCGGCCATTCTCCATCTCTTTAGCTAATTCGTCTTCCTGCATGTCGCAGAGGCTTTGTAATGCGTCCATTTGTGTGTAGAAACGTGCACCAATCATTGGCATAAGATCTGTTACTGAGCGTCGTTGCGTCGTCGAAAATAGATAGCTGTGTAATTAAGTAATTAAGTCAGAAACTTAATACGCTTAATTGGTCGGCTTTGTAACTTACACGATGAAATTACGCAAGTCATTGGAGTAGTGACGTGATACCATTTCAATGCTGCTTTGGACATTTTCTCTCTGCACCGATTGTAAACATCGACAAGCTAAAGCCAATACCAGCCGACCCAACGCAGTCAAATCATCCTGCAAATACAACATTTAATATTCGAGTTCATAATGTGTCATTGTTGGACACGTATTGTCGCAAAGCCACTTTAGCATTGAATGAATGGCTCCCTTACTTGCTGATGCATGCTAGCCACCGCTAGAGGATTCGCTGCATTGGGATCGAATTGTGCAATGTCGCTTGTGCCACAAAAACTCAGACGCATCCGCTTGCCGGTCACCAGTACTTTCGTTGGATCCAAGACCCTTTCGGAATTGCGAATTTCAAATTTCTAATTAAAAACAAACAAAATAAAATACTTCTTATCATCAACTCACTTGCAGGCGAGTCCTGCTTGATGGATTGCACGTAAACCAGCGGTCAATTGCATGATAATTGACCAAATAGTTGCTTCGGGTAGCAATGGTCCGTTATTGTTGCGTTGCAAGTTGCTCTTGTGGCTGCAAGAGAGGCAAATCGGTGTTATTCCTATATGTAAATATGTACAGTATTGGACATATCTATAGCACGCCCATTTCAAAGTGATATTTTATGTTTAATATTTTTATTGAGCTTTGTACCACGATTGTTACGATTGTGATATTGTTTGCCACTTTTGTGTAATCATTTATTTTTAAGAATTTTCAATTAAAATTCAGTTCATTCTATAACAAACCTCATATGAACCCAATTTTAAAACTTTTTAAAAGACTACAAAAAAATTCAACAAATTTTCACCTAACAGGTCTATTCTGCACGTTACTGAAGATTTTGTAACCGGAAAATTTTATTACCAAAAAATGTTACCAGTTCTTCTCACCGCGATTCTAGGTAGGTTGGTAATGCAGTTTAAAATATTCTGCAATTCAGCTACGAAGATTAGTGGAAATTCTGCCATTGCATATTTCACGGGGCAATATTTTGTTGCCAGCTTATGAGTTGGTAAAAAAAGTTACTGGTCACAAGAGTACACAGAATGCGAAAAAGGTTTAAAAGTTGACGGGAACTTTATTTACCGGTTACGAAATTTTTATTACCCGCGCAGAATTGACCTGTAAATTTCAACCTTTTTTTTTCAGAAGTGCTGGATTTTTTTTTTCAGTCTGAAAACGTGCAAGAGACAAGTGGATGAAAATTGCCGTTGATTTTTGATATGAAAGCAAATGCGATAAAAAACATTCAAAAAATCAACGGTAATTTTTAGCCATTTGCCATAACTTGCACATTATAAGACTAAAATTAAATGGGCTATAAAACTGTGTACTCGGAAAAATGGGGTGCTATAGATAAGTCCAATACTGTACGGACATACGCAAGCATGCGATCCCTTGATTGGGCCCGAATTTTGCACAAAACCTAATGCTATATTAATACTGAATTTTTTCCTAAATGTTATGGACGCGAAAAAATTGATAAAAAAAAGCCAGCTGGGTCAACAAAATTCCTCAGACTATGCTCATATTACAACCCAAATTTGTTGCACAAAAATTAATAAAAAATAAAGAAGTCTTTAACTGCGTTATAAATCGAAATTTATATGAAAATGTCACTTTATAACTAAAGCTCTTTAAATCTATTTTATTTTTTATGAATAAAATCATGCTCACACTATCGTAGTTTACGATTCATTCGTAAATCAGGTTGAAATCAACGTAAATTATTTAGTTTCGTTCAAATTACTTCACATAAATCAAGTGCGTTCACATTTGCTTTAACGATTTCTATAGATATACATATATGTGTTAGCCTTGCAGCGCAACATGCTTTCAGAGTAATCTGAATAATAGAGAAACCTTAAAGAAATCATTATTTTCCTATCCGATTTTTCTAAAATTAAATGTACATATGTACTGTGCACACTTCCGATTCTTTTACGAAATTTCGGGGAAAAAAATCGGTAAAGAAATGATAATAATGCTGGCATGTGAAGAGTTTTTAAAGAATTTTAAGAAACTGTACAGAGATTTCTTTACGAGTTCGTGTCAACCAATTTAAATGATTTTCTTTGACGTTTCTTAAAGAAATGCGATTCTATTTCGCTAAGATTTTGGGAACATGGTTTGCAGAGAGGTTAGTTAACACGTGTGGGCATGGCTGCGTGGTTTGTACTTGATTTTACAATAAATGGCGGCATACCTTAGGCACTATTTTTATAAATTTCCTCAACAGTGGCACCTAAAATAAAAGACATACATAAATATGACACGTAAATAAAAGCCATTTAAGATAGTTTTAATGAAATTAATTTTTTGTTAAAAATTGTGAAACTCGGAACTAGAGTGTAAAATAAAATTACTCTCACAGAAAACACAAAAACGCAATTCGTGGCTGGAATATGCAGACAAATCAGCTGACTCACGTGATATTGTTGGTCTTATTCAAGATACAAGAAATTAGTCTGTTCCTTTGAACTTCGGGACTAAAACCTGTGGAACTGTCAAACTACAATTTTACAATTTTACAGATGCAGAAGTGCACGGCAACGCAAAAAGCACTATTTCCTGTAAAAACGTCAGTCGGTTTGTTTACATGTCATTTGTACAACACTGATTTGGCTGAAATATCACTAACTAATTATTAAAATCTATACATATTCAAATATTTCGTTTTTTACTTCCATTTTTCTACAAATATAAGGTTTTTTGCTTACACCGCTTTCTATTTTTGTTTGGACATGCAAATCAGCTGATCGTTTGACATTTACAGGAAAAAGAAGTCCGGACTAAATCCTGTAACTTCTGGCTAGGAACAGTTGCTCAGTTACTCTCTCAAAAGTGTTCCCACTTACAGGTTTTATGTCGATAGGAACGACTTCCTGTAAGTTCTGACTAAATGCTGTAAACCGGACTGCTATTGGAACAGACTAATTAATGACCCACTTTTATTCAAATGTGAATTTAAAAGTTGTATGGATGTACATATGTAATATATATTAGGGTGTTGGATTATTCGACATTTTCTCAAAACCGGGTTTCGAGTTATTCGAAAAAAGGCAATTTGGTAAAACCAGTTCTTAATTTTCAAATTCAGAAAAAAACCGGTTAGACTGTGTATTTGCCTTTCATTTTTCGCGTTTAGATAACGCTTACAGTTAGTCAAAAATTGAAAGCCAAAAATGGAAATTAAACAATAAATATTTAAAAGTTCTGGGATCAACGGATTTTTTCCTTAGTTGCTAAAAGCCTGAACCTTGTCTTTTTAAATGTAATTTCTAATATATATATATAATGCTTTTTATTAAATCATTTCGGGAACCAAATCTGGAATCAGATGTGCTAGAGTATAAATACATTTTTTATAGCTTTTCGCTACAGTGCCACAGAAGATGTGTT